CACTTTCCCATTAAAGCTCTGTTAAATACCCTAAGATCTTTCACTCCAAGTCCACCCCACTTCTTTGGGGAAGTGACTGTTTGCCAATTCACTAGATGAAACTTTCTAGTTCCATCCGCCGCATCCCATAGAAAGTTCCTTTGGAGTCGCTCCAGTTTTTCTGTGATGCTCACCGGTGCTTGCAACAGGGATAAGTAATAGGTTGGCATACTCGATAAAGTGCTTTTGATAAGCACTTCCTTACCTCCTTTTGACAAATACCGTTTCTGCCACCCTGCTAATCTTTTTTCAACCCGCTCGATCACTGGATTCCAAACCGTAGTATCCTTATATGAAGCGCCCAAAGGGAGGCCCAGGTAAGTAGTGGGAAGGGAGCCCACCTTGCATCCGAGAACACCAGACAAGGCATCAATATTAGTAACCTCACCTACCGGGAAAATCTCACACTTGCCGATGTTGATTTTGAGTCCTGATACTAACTGAAACCACTGCAGGACCTGCTTCAGGTAGGTCAACTGATCCATATCGGCATCACAGAAAACCAGTGTGTCATCCGCAAAAAGCAAATGTGAGATTCTTCGGGCACTGAGCACCCCAATCGGAGCTGAGAATCCTCTCAAGAAACCTCCGCCCGCCGCACGATCCATCATTTTGCTCAGAGCATCCATCACTAGAATGAATAACATGGGGAATAGGGGGTCACCTTGCCTGAGACCCCTGGAGCTGCCAAAGAAACCACACGGGCTACCATTAACCGTCCACCGAGAAGCTTATTATAGGAGGTGATTTTAACGGCCACATTGGGAGGTTGCCTGGGGGATATGACGGTGTGCATGGTGGCTTCGGTTTTGGAGATAGAAGCGGAGGAGGTACTTCGCTGCTGGAGTATGCTAAAGCTTTTGAGCTGGTGATCGCTAACTCGTGTTACCCGAAGAAGGCAGAGCACCTGATAACTTTTCGGAGTACAGTGGCCGAAACCCAGATTGATTATCTACTTCTCCGGAAATGTGATAGAGGTTTATGCACGGATTGCAAGGTCATCCCGAGCGAGAATCTTACGACCCAGCATATGCTTTTGGTTATGGACTTAGAGCTCAGGTGGACGAAGAAGAAGAGGGCTATGTCTGGCTTCCTAGGGTCAGGTGGGGTGCATTGACCAAAGACAAGGCCCAGGAGTTGGGGGAGAAGTTGTTGGCTATGGGGGCTTGGAGGAGTAGCGGGGACGCGAGTTGTATGTGGGCTATGACAGCAAATTGTATTAGGGAGGCGGCGAAAGAGGTGTTAGGGGTTTCGAAGGGTTTTTCTGGTGGCCATAAAGGGGGCTGGTGGTGGAACGAAGAGGTTCAAGGGAAAGTGAAAGCTAAGAAGGCGGCATATTTGAAGCTAGTAGAGGGAGATATGAGCATTGTGCTGGGGCCTGGGGGAGTTAGAGTACTCGGAGCGACATCGCGATTTTGGGTACTGTAGACGCATACGAATGGGGAGGTTGTAAGGGCTATGCGCAGGATGAGTAAGGGTAGAGCGACTGGGCCGGACGAGATCCCGGTGAAATTCTGGAAGAGCGTGGGTAAGGAGGGCATGGAATGGCTTGCTAGGTTGTTTAACATCATTTTTAGGACGAAGAAATCCCCGAAGAGTGGAGGCAGAGTACGATGATTTCGTTGTACAAGAACAAGGGGATGTCCAAAACTGCAACAACTATAGGGGTATCAAGTTGTTAAGCCACATGATGAAAGTGTGGGAGATGGTGATTGAAGGGAGGTTGAGGAGGAGTGTGTCCATTTCCGAGAACTAGTTTGGTTTCATGCCGGGACGGTCGACTACTGAGGCCATTCACATTGTGAGAAGATTGGTGGAGCAGAATAGGGCGATGAAGAAGGATTTGCATATGGTGTTCATTGACCTGAAGAAAGCCTATGACAAAGTCCCGAGAGAGGTTCTATGAAGATGTTTGGAGGCTAAAGGAGTGCCTGTAGCGTATATTAGAGTGATTCAGGACATGTATGATGGAGCTAAGACACGGGTTAGGACAGCAGGAGGAGACTCTGAATATTTTCCGGTTGTGATGGGGTTGCATCAGGGATCAGCACTTAGCCCGTTTTTGTTTTCCCTGGCGATGGATTCATTGACACGACACATTCAAGGGGAGGTGCATTGGTGCTTGTTATTTGCGGACGACATAGTCCTGATTGATAAGACGCGAGGTGGCGTTAACGAGAGGCTAGAGGTCTGGAGACATACTCTGGAGTCTAAGGGTTTCAAGTTGAGCAAGACCAAGACAAAATACTTGGAGTGCAAGTTCATGGGTGTTACCTAGGAGGCTAACGGGGATGCGAGCCTCGATACGCAAGTCATTCCCAGAAGAGAGAGTTTCAAGTATCTGGGGTCTATAATTCAGAAGGATGAGAAGATAGATGAGGATGTCACACACCGTATCGGAGCAGGGTGAATGAAGTGGAGGCTCGCTTCCGGTGTCTTGTGTGATAAGAATGTGATGTTGAGACTTAAGGATAAGCTCTACAAGGTAGTGGTTAGACCGACTATGTTGTATAGGGCAGAGTGTTGGCCAGCCAAAATCTCCCATGTCCAGCATATGAAAGTAGCTGAGATGGGGATGTTGAGATAGATGTGTGTGCATACTAGGTTGGAAAGAATTAGGAACGAAGTTATTCGGGACAAGGTGGGAGTGACCCCTGTGGAGGCTAAGATGCGTGAGGCGAGTTTGAGATGTTTCGGGCATGTTAAGAGGAGAAGCACAGATGCCCCAGTCAGGAGATGTGAGAGGTTGGCCTTGGGAGGTAAGATGAGGGGGAGAGGTAGGCCAAAGAAGTCTTGGGGAGAGGTAATCAGGTGGGACATGGCGCAGCTTGAGCTAACCGAGAACATGACCCTAGATAGAAGGGTGTGGAGGTTGAAGATTAGGGTAGAAGATTAGTAGGTAGTCGTGCGTTTCTTTTGACTTCTATAGTTCGATAGTATTAATGCTAGTACGGTACCCTTTTTTCCTTAGTGTGCTATATTTGCATGTCTTGTTATGTTATTACTTGTCATCAGTAATTCCGTAGTTTGTTGGCAGTACTTCGTTCATATTCTCGTTTGCTGCCTTGGATTTAGTTTTCTAAATATATTGTCTTGCTATTACTTGTTATCGGTACCTCTTTCATATTCTCTGTTGCTATCTTCGATTTAGTTTTATAATTATTTGTCTTGCTATTACTTGCTATCAGGGCTTATTTCATGTTCTTTAGCCGAGGATCTATCGGAAACAGTCTTTCTGCCCTGCTAGGGTAGGGGTAAGGCTGCGTACATCATATCCTCCTCATACCCCACTTGTGAGATTATACTGGGTGGTTGTTGTTGTTGTTGTACAAGAGTTGTTGGATCAAAGCTGGTCTGATCCAGTGTTGTCAAAGGCGCGCTTAAAGCGCGCTTAAGCCCTGAAGTGAGGCTCAAAACACGTTTAGCGCTTCTCCTAAAGTGTGCGCTTTAGTGTCGCATCAAAGCTCTAAGGCACACTTTTCCTTGCCAATGTGTAATCCTGAAAAGGCAACCTTAAACAATTGATATTTCACTTTATCGTGATTTTTATTTTCAATTTCTTTGTCCATATATTTGTTATTCATGCTTATAATGATTAGTCTTGGACTACATGCATATTTTTACTTTTTCTCCCGTTGCGCCTTTCTTCATTAAAGCCCACACTTTATTTGAGCTTTGCGCTTAAAGCCCCAACGGACCTTAGAGATTTTTTGCGCTTTTCGCCTTTGATAACACTGGTCTGATCTAATTTTAAATCTTGCTAGGAAACATTGGGATTTTAGCTGTAGTCAGAATCTTCTGCAATTCCTTTTTCATTAAAATTTGAGTAGATCTTGATTTCAACAAATCTCAATTAGTTTTGTACTCCTCTCATGGGACAAAACTTATGAATATAGAAAGCGGTGTTGAATATTTTATATATGCAGTAGTTAAGTAATAATGAAGCAATGATCCACAGAACCCTTTACGCTAGCATAGTTGAATTTGAATTTAAGAGGATGCTCATTAGCTCCACTCACTCAATATGAATGCATACAAAAATTCTGGAAGCCGAACTAAGATTGATTTCGACCCTTTTATATAATAGGCAAACGTGTGGTGGTACATAATGCCTCGGAAAAGATTTGTAAAGGGAGAGCCCAATCAGATATCACCATGAGAAGTTCAATTTCTTCTTTAAATTTCCAAAGTATCCTAAATATGTACTCTAGTGTGTGACGGGGATGCAATGACGAATGATCACATCAATCAGCTAAATCAAACGGCACAGATGAGGCAAAGACTCATCTTCAGACAATCAAAGGAGATAAGCAATTTGGTTTTTCATTAAAGATAGCTTAAGCACAAAATGCATGTACCATCAGCATGAGTTGCAGGGTTTTTAAGGTGCTCGGTTTCATTTGATGGATAGGACTCCTCTACTTGACAGGTGCAGCACAGCCACCTTCTCATCCTCACTCTCTTTCTCAAATAAAGATCGTCTTCAGCCCGTCTGTTTTCCAACCGTGAAAAGTGACCAGGAGGAGGAGCATGTGCCTGTTCAGTAACTCAAATGTAAGAATAAACATACTTCATTATACACATACTACCACTTTATTTCCTAAATAATTTGATTGAAATAGCATACAGCTCTCTCCTTGCTCGAAGGGTAATTTACAAGGTACTTGCAATACTTTTGAAATCCAAATGACAAAAATTATATTAGACAACTGAACCCGTCAATAACACAATCTGCTGGATGCCTCTAAGAGTGCATCCCTCAGAGATTCCAGAACCAAAAATCAATTTCAACGAAATAAAGCACGAGGAGCTCCATTGATATTTATCAAAAAGCAAAAAAAGGGAAAATGTCTAGACTTGCCAACAAAGAATATCTTAAAAAGCTCCTATTCGAAAAAAGGAAAACAAGCTAAAAGCAGAGAAACCAGAAATACTACCTCTCTCCACCAATAAACTATGAAATTAATAGCAAAAGATACAGAAGTTAATATCAAAAGATACAAGATATCGATGCAAGACTACAATATACGTCACAATTTAATGATTCCAATTTCATATTCTTCTAAGGAATCCCCTTAAATAGTACATTCCTCCATATTGGGCAAAAGGGAACAAAATAAAAAACTAGAGAAAACCATCATTAAATCAAAGCGCTAAAAATAGAATCTTGAAATTAATTCCATTTCCATCAAACCAAACATACAATCCACATTTCAAGGCAAACTCACACATAGCCAGAGATCAACCACACAATCAATCAACATCGCCTCGATCCCAATACAAAATAAAAATTTCCTCTTTTGTAGCATGAAGCTTTATTAAATTAGATAAACACATATTTTCAAGAAACCCAAAAAGGGAATTTATATAATCTTACCACTAGCCCTTGCCTGTGAAAATTATCATCCATAGCAATCAAATTAAACAAATATTACAATTCACAATACCAAATGAACAAAAAGAATCAAATCTTGAAAATTTCTCAGACAAGGGTTAGATCCAGAGGGTCCAAAAATGAATTGGGAAAGTTGAAAATGAGAGGAAAAATAAAATGAAATTTAGTCAAATTCAAATTGATCCCTCAAAAAAACAAAAAATAAAACCCTGAGAATTGAAAAGAGGGCAAAAGGGTGAGGTACACAACAACTCATTAGGAATAATTATAGCCATACAAACCAACCGAAATTAAAGGGGTTATTTTTATTTTTTCCATTTACCTGATAAATAATAAAGAAAAATAATTCTTCCGCCTCTTTCTTCTTCTGGGGTTTGTGGGATTCTTTTTTTTTCTTTTTTCTTTTGGGGTAATGAGGAAATAAAGTGAAGAAACAGTTAAGCAGACAGGTAATGACAGAGAACAAGGGGAGAGAGAGAGAGAGAGAGAGAGAGAGAGAGAAGGTTATGATTTGTTTTAGTCTGTTGTCTGTTTTGTTGCGTTGAGAATGAGGATCGAGGAAAGGGAGTTCGAGGGGGCCGAGGGTTATGATTGAGAATATAGGAAATATCTGTGTATATTTAGCTGTCGTGAAGATGACTCTTAGATCATTATTTTTGCTAGGAATAGAATTGTAAGTATGTTTATGTTTTAGAGATTTTGTTATTTCGTGGCAATATCATTTCCCCCAGTAAATAGAAGGGATTTATCCCATTGTAACTCATCTTAAATTCAATAAAAATTATATCTCTCTTTTTCTTGCAATATTATTATTTTTCTTATTGTTTTCTTATTGTGGAGATAGTATCACTAACTATGATATGCTTGAAAAAACGTTCACAACGTTTCATGTCTCCAATATGGTCTTGCAACAGCAGTACCGAGAGAAAAGTTTAAGAAGTACTCTTAGTTGATTTCTCTTCTCCTTGTGCCTGAGCGAAACAACGACTTGCTCATGAGAAATCACGAAAATCGACCTACTGGGTCTACACCATTGCCTGAAGTGGATGAGGTGTATTCCCATTATGCTAAGCGTGGAAAAGATCGTGGCCCTATTGGTGGTCGTGGTCGTGGACAAGGAAGAAATTTTCATGGTGTTAATCATCCCCCCAAAAAAAATAACCATCAAAAGTGGAAAGGAAAAGATGAGAAGCCAAAGGCAAATGATCAGAAACTGAATGTTATCGTTGCGGTGGAAAAGTGCATTGGGCAAATATTTGTCATACACCAAGACATTTGGTTGAGCTTTATCAAGCATCTCTAAAGAATAAATTCTCTAAAACTAATTTTATGTATGACAATGAATTTGACATCACCCACTTAGAGCACCCTGATGGAAAAATATACCACTTAATTGATGATGGATCCGTGGTCAAAAATAATTGAATAATTTAATTTTTATTTTTGTCTATTCGTAATAAGTAATGAATAAACATCATGTAATCATATTTGTTTACCTGAGCAGTAGTTTTGCAATAAGAATTAATCAGTATGTGGAATTAGTACAATACTTCATTGAAAAAAGTTATTGGTTTTAGTCTGCTTGTTTGCTAACAGATGCACTACGACACTTTGCCTTCAAAGTTTACTGAGTTTGAATCTTATTAACAGGGCGGCCCGACCAATTTTGTGGCCTAAAGCAAAATTTTATGAGGGCCTTAACTTTTTTATTAATAAAAAATATTTTATTTTTATTTGAATTCTATTTTTCTAACTTTTTTAGATGCAAAATTATTATTAATTTTTGTAATTAATTTCTCCTAATAAACCTTTCTCAATTAACAATATAGTTGATTCATTTAATATATTTAAGACATTGTTGATCTTAGGTAAGGTTTTATCAATTTTAATTTTGAAACACTTTTTTCCGCTGAAGCAACAATAATAGGAGTTATTAACATTATTCTATAAGTAATATAGACATTTGAAAAATAATCAAATCTTTTTATTTGATTGAGTATATCAATTAAACTGTTATCTTCTAATTGTACTATTTATCTTCAAATTTTCATCATCTAGTAATTTCAGTTTTTACCGCTAAATAGAAAACCAAAAATATTTTCATATGCCTCTAATTGTTCAAATCTATTTTAAAGTGAAAAAATAACCTTGTCTACTACTCTCTCCAATCCATAATAAATGACTTTTTTGGCTTTCATTTTGGTTCAAAATAAGTGTACTTTTATATAATCGAGAAGGAATTAACTTTATTTTTTCAAATTTTGCCCTTATTTACATATCTCTATGTGTCAAGTTAACAACATATAAATTTTAATTAAGGATAATTTAGTCAAAATATATTTTTGTTCTATGAGTCAATATTTTTTAAGGGGCACAACAAAGGTTAAAAAGTAATTTATTATGGACCAGAGGGAGTATGTATAAAAAGTAATCAACTCTAAAGGACTTTTCGAGAGATTTTGAGATTTCACTATTAACATTCTCCTCAAATTGTTTCTTCCTATATATTACAAGTTTCTTATGAAATTCAGGTTCGATATTAATTTCAAATGCAATTTCCTTTGCAGAAATCAAAGCAGTTGCAAATCCTTCATCTTTATATTTGTTAAATAAAGAAATCAAACTTTTTCACCACATAACTTTTTTTTAAAATTTATATATAACCTATTAGGTGTAAAAAAAAAAATGGAACCTCCACAAATGTGGGCCTAAAGTAATTGCTTTACCTGTTTTATGGACGAATCACCCCTGCTTATTACTTATATCGATCTTATTAAAAGACCAACAAGAAAATATGGCTTTGACTGTTAAAGTGAAAAGCTCAGAATGAGTAGCTTTAAATTTTTTTTTTTACTAGAAACCATTAATAGTTCAAAATGAATAAGGTACAAGAGGTAACTTGAAACAAAAATAAGAGGACATGTAGGAATAAGTAGATCCTGGATCAAATAGAACTGAAGCATCTCTATGGAAAACTGGAACAATACTTGTAATCACGACATCGGATGATTCGACCTCAGGCCTAGCTGGAAAAGCATAAAATCGGGGTTGGGCCCCACCACTCTGAACTACATCCCTGGGGCAGCCTCTAACTGGCTGGCCTCCACCTCTAACGGTCTGACCTCCGCCTTTAGCTGGCTGAGTAGGCGGTGAAGCAACCGGTGCTGGAACCATAGCATGAGAACCCTGCTGCTGCATGCTGCCCTGAGACATGGGGCAGAATCTAGCAATGTGCCTCGGATCACCACAAGTATAACAGGACCTTGGCTGTTGTGACTGCTGACCCGAACGAGCTGAATAACCATTGTAATGACTCTGGAGTGGTGGTGCACTGATAGGAGCTGAATGTGCATTAAATGTTGGCTGCCCAGAGTAAGGCATAAAAGGACCGTGACTCCCTGAAGCACCAGGAGATGCCTGAAGTGCTGAATGAAATGGTTTGGGAGGATGACCCCTACCAAAATTACCCCTGCTTCCAGACGAGGCACCACTGAAACCACCGAACTGACGAGGCCTCTTATCAGACCTCTGCCCTCTCTCTTGTGCAAGAACTATCTCGATCCTCCTCGTGACATTAGCAGCCGCCTGAAAGTAAATCTCACTTCCGGCCTCCTTGGCCATCTGAAGCCTGATAGGGTGAGTGAGTCCCTCAATAAACCTCCTCACTCTCTCTCCCTCAGTAGGTAGTAAAAGGATAGCATGATAGGCTAAATCCACAAAACGGGATTCATACTGAGTAATAGTCATATTGCCCTACTGTAGACGCTCAAATTGCCTGCGGTAATCCTCTCTCAATGTGATAGGGAGAAACTTCTCTAGAAATAGCCGTGAGAACTTTTCCCAGGTCAATGCAGGCAATCCAACTGGTCTGGTCAATGTATAATCTCTCCACCACCTCTTGGCGGAACTCATCATATGAAATACAGCAAAATCAATCCCATTGGTCTCAACTATACCCATGTTCCGCAGTACCTCATGGCAGCGTTCAAGATAGTCCTGTGGGTCCTCAGAAGGTGTACCACTGAAGTGAACTAGAAAGAGCTTAGTAAACTTATCCAGTCTCACTAAGGCCTCAGAAGACATGGCATGCCTATCACCGGCATGCGCCCCAATAACTGGCTGAACTACCCCAACTGGCGGGGCTGCTGGAGCCTGATTCTGGGGAGCCATCTGCTCCAGAGCGGGGGTAGTGGGAATCTGTGCTCCTCCCCCAGCCTGTGAGATGGCTGGTGCCACTGGAAATGTACCATTTTGGGCCACACCCTCTATAAGACTCACCGAATGGACTAGAGCGTCCTGAAGCACTGGAGTAGCTATAAATCCTTCCGGGACCTAAACTGATCCAATCGATACAGTCTGAACGGGAACCTCTTCCTGAAGATCCACCTAAGGTTCTACAACAGGTGCTGCTGCTCGAGCTCTAGACTGAGCTCTACCTCTGCCTCTGCCTCTACCCCTAGCACGACCTCGGCCTCGACCTCTACCCTTGGCCATAGTTGCCACTAAGGGCTCTGGTCCCTATCCATCGGTTTATGTATTACGTGTTATCACCATCTACGAGAGAATAAGAATAGAATGGTTCAATCATCGATGATAGAATAAAATCGCACGATAGAATAAGAAAGAAGCGAAATTGTTCTTAAACTTCATAGACTCTGAGAGATAAGTACAGACATCTCCGTACCGATCCTTCAGACTCTACTAATCTTGCTCGTGACTCGTGAGACCTATGTAATCTAGTGCTCTGATACCAACTGTCACGACCCGAAATTCTCACCTTCTTGATTGTGATGGCGCCTAACATTTCACTTGCTAGGCAAGCTAACGTTAGAATAATATTAGCCATTTCAAAACAATTTTAATATAATTAATAACAAAGAAACAAATGCGGAAATAAGGTCTGAAATGTAGTGAACAATCCATAATAATAGCGATATCTAAATACCATCCCAGAACTGGAGTCACAAGTGCATGAGCTTCTAGAATAATACAAATAAAGGTTTGAATAAAATTCAAGCTGTTTGAAATATAATACACAGCTGAGATAATAGAGAAGGGGACTTCAGAACTGCGAACGTTGTGCAGTTATACCTCAAGTCTCCACTAGTAGCTGTATCCGGGCAAATCTATAGTACGCCGCTGGGACTAACTCCGAAATCTATACAAGAAGTGTAGAGTGCAGTATCAG